GAGTTCATACCCTTTCAAGCAAAGACATCGCTCCTTTGGGCTTAGACGCTTGTTTTTCAGCGAATTGTCGAGGAGATAGAGGCACAGCAGTTGCTGAGCTGATCACTTTTTTAACAGGACTTTTGAGCTCTTCGAGAACCGCCTAAAGGCATTGGTTAGGCTTATCTTAACTGAAAGATTTGTTACGTACATCTACAGTATTAACTGAAAGATTTGTTACGTACATCTACAGTATTAGGCAGCGATACGCTGTCATCCACCGTGGCTAAGTAGTCCTTCATTTCAAAATGACGATCAGCATCATCATGAGGCACATCAGGTATCTCGGCCTAAAATTCTGTGATATAGCCACTGATCAGATGAAAACGTCATATTAAGCATTTCACGATCCTTATACCTCGGGTATTCTTCCACATTCAACATCTAAGTCAAACTTAGGATGGAACCGTCGTAGCTTAGAATACTCAGAGTCGTTCATAAATACTGCAATGGAAGATTGACAGGTTTTTATCAGTCATTTATGGATACGAATTCTAAGCTTACAGCCTATCTTTTCCATAAACTTTCGGTGGAACTTCTTGGCAATTTCTACAAGGCTATGTCGGAAAATATGGCTACGACATGTCATTCGCCAACCTTCAAGACGAGGTCTAGCATCAAGAACGGGTTCTCTGCAAAGCTTGAAATAAGTATAGAGAAAAAACCTTTTCTATTATGACTAAGTTAGATGAGAGCATTGAAGGGAAGCATGCATAAAATGTAAGACTTTGATAGCTGACCAACCTTGGAACAGGATTTACCACCTTTTTTCTGGGTGAAAGCAGTTTACTGGGAGTGACACCTGGTAGTGGCGGCTCGTCTTCCTTAACGGGCGTATCGGGAAGCATGTATCCAGTTAAATCTAAATAGGCGAAAAGCTTGAAGCTGACAATGGGGTCCCACCATTGCGGGTACCACTTCAAAATGTAAGGCATCATTGATAATAAAATTTGACTGACGCAATAAATGAGTATAAAGATGTTGATCATGCAAGGAACAAACTGACCAAGCCAAGTGTTCCTCCGGCCCAGCATGAGCCAGTGCTCTTCTATATATGTCCTCGTTTACGGTGGTTATCTATATTTTGCTAGCTCCTAAGGTATAACTTACATGTTACGCACTAGATGGTCAAAAATTTGCAGCGTACTAAGCTTGATAATGAGAGAGCTGAGGATAGGAAAGCAAAGCGTAA